CTTGCATCACACCTCTCCGCTTTATGGAGGCAGGAGGGAAGAGCATGCTACAGGTGCTGAAAGATGTGGCTTTGGAGCCCTTAGACCTGTGCTTGCCCACCCTGCCACTCCCCAGTGGTGTGACTTTGCGTAAAGCACTTCAGTTGATGTGCTCCAAGTGCCTCGTCTGTAAACTGTGTTAAGAATCTTGTCTTATAGTATAATTGTAAGGTTAAATGAATTAACCTTTAAGAGAGTATAAAAAAGTATTTCATAAGTGACACCGATAGGTCTCCTCTATAGAAGTCTCATTTTTCTCATCTATATGGCAGTGGCCCCTCCAGGCTTGCTGCCTTCTTCACTCCCTCGTTCCTGCTCTGCCAGTTAAAATTCTACCTATCCTTCAAGGCTTATCTCAAATGCTACCTTCTCCATGAATAATTTGTGAATAAATTTGCCCACCACAGATCCCTCCTTCCTCTGACCTATATTATTTATAAATTATTCATTCCTGTCTTATGTCCCTTGTCACATTTTATTTTGTATTTCAGCTGACTGTATTTATGTCTTATTTTCCCTCCTAGGTTGTAATGTCTTATGGTCAGGGACCATATTCTCTTTGTCTTTGCTAAAATACCATATGCCGCAAAGCTTTGCCCATTATAGATGCTCTATTAATATTTATTGAATAAATGATTGAATGGCATATTAGCTCTCCAATGCCAAATTTATAATTTATTTTTTTAACATAAAGACTTTGAGTCCTAAAAGACCTCCATATGACCATGTCTTTTTCCTGCTTCTTTAAAAAATAATTTTTTTCCATTCATCTTATAGTCTCTTTGGTAATTACTGCTATTATCCTATTTAGAGATGGGAAGCAGCAGTATAATTTAAAGCATATATTTATTTGGCCTTTAATAGTTAATGTTAGTAAATTTATATGGCCCTGAATTTATTTGGGTGGTTTTTTCTCCTCCTTTCCCTTCTCCTCTTCCTTTTCTTCCTCATCATTGTTGTTATTATTTATACTTTATTGAGTTTACTGAGGTAATCGCTTTATGTTAATTATTTAAAAAATCATATTACAGCCTGAGAGACACAGATGAGGCAAAATCTAACTGATTGGCACCATCTGTAGTTTTGCTGCCAAAGATATGAATATGTAAAATTTATTGACATAGAGTCATGGTTTAGTCATAGTCTTATTCTCATTTTGCAGATGACGACACTGAGTTCCATGGGCATTAGGCCACCTTCCCTAAAGACGCTGGTGTTTCCTTATAGAGCAGAGACTGGAATTCACTTCCCCAGACAGCCAGTCAGGGACGGGTAATCCTAAGTGGGGGAAATACGTAAACACTGATTTTAGAAGGTAACATTGTCTTTGGGGTAGAATATATGATCTAAGTTTCAGAGAGCATAAATTATTTTATTTTGTGTTTGACGTAGGTACATGAATTCCTGTTTTTGTGCATGTTTTAGTAAGGGATATATCATGGTTTCCAGCATGAATTTAAAGCATCTGTAATAACCATTCTAATGTGTACTGAGTGAAAACTTGGGCCATAAGGTACATCCTTGGTTGAACATGTTGCGTATCATTTGGATATAATTTAGCTAAAATTTTAGTATGGATTTTTTTTTTAATTTAAAAGAAAAGTTGAAATTTTTCAAACAGAAAACAAAGTTTTTAAAAGCTATGGTGAAACTTGACTAAAATAGATGAATAAACTTCTTCTGAACACTGTGCTAGAATTTTCTTTACTACCCAGTGAAAATGTTTTCTTTAATCAGTAGAAAGGAGGCCAGTTAACTCACTCTTTGCCCTCTACCTTTCACTCTTGGATTCTTGGAACTAATTCTGTTACTCATAATTGAAGGGAACTTAAGGAGTCTGAGGGAAAGTCTGGGTCTCTGTAGACAAAGGCCAGCCTCAAGTCCCCTCAATAGCTGTCCCAGGATTAACAGGTGACCTGTATCTTCTTACCTTCCTTGTGTGTCAGTTCTGAAAACTGAAAGACTGCTGTCATGAGACTCTTGGGCTGGGTACTGCTTTCCATCGTTACTCCCTTCCCTCATACCCCTACTCATTTTCTGATTTGTTTCACCATAGTGTAGTTTTGTTTGTTTATTTCATTTAAATGGAATCATGCAGTACATCGTTTTTTGTGTGTGCCTTCCTCTACTTAACGTTTTTGAGATTCATTCTTGTTGTTGCTTGCATGAGAAGCTCGTCATGTTCATTGCTGAGTAGTACTCCATCGTTTGAATATACCACATTTAGTTTATCATTCTTCTCTTACATGACATGCTTTTAAAATCTTAGCCTAATTTCTGGCTCTGTTTTACGTCCCTACCACTGTTTTCTCTGCCTTTTCCCCTTATCATCTTCAAATGAATGTGTCAACCTTTTGTGGTTGATTTCCACGGATAGGGTGACCTCTGCATACACAATTCTTCAGCTGAGGAAAGGTTTTTGTCTTCTATTATCTTTGATTATTACTTGTGTTCCACTTATTCGCTCTTCATTTTGAGAGGTCTAATGGTCTCCTGTTAGTTGGTTGTCCCTTCTCTGATTGTCTGTGACCATTTTCTTTTTCCTAATTCTCATTTCTGGATACCTTCCTTCTGTATGGAGGGGTAGCCGCTCAGCTGCTCATCCTCTGCATTGCTGATTTTCTGTAACTATGCTTTCTATTAGTGCTAATGTGAATTTTAATTTTGTATTTATGTTTTCATGTATATTGAAATCTTCCTTAACTTCTCTTATATTGTATTATTTATATTATTATTTTATTATCTATATATTATTATTATTATAATTATTTTGAGACAGTGTCTCACTTCATCATCCAGGCTGGAGTGCAATGGCGCAATCCCAGCTCACTGCAACATCTGCCTCCTGGGTACAAGCAATTATCATGCCTCAGCCTCCCAAGTAGCTGGAATCACAGGTGTCCGCCACCATGCCCAGCTAATTTTTGTATTTTTAGTAGAGACGGGGTTTTACCATGTTGACCAGGATGATCTCGAACTCCTGATCTTAGGTGATCCACCCACCTTGGCCGCCCAAAGTGCTGGGATTAAAGGCGTGAGCCACCACACCCAGCAATATATGGTTTCTATACTATCATTTTAACTCTTTATGTTATTTTGTTGCCTTTATGTAGAGGTCATGTTTATTTGTACTTTCCTGAGAATGCCAAACCATTTCCTGAAAATTCGTTTTGCATCATATCATAGGAAATGTTGAGAGAGACTCTGAGAAGGAATTTCCCTTGTTCTAACTTAGTGTTCCATCAGTCCTATTTTGTTTTTCTCTTCCTTTCTTCTTTCCTTGTTATCCTTAGATGAGTGAGCTCTGCGCAGAACCAGAGGGTTGAATGGATTGTCCTTTCGTTCCATATTTAAATTCTCTAGCGTGACAATTCAATCCTCTTTCTAAATGTTCAGCTGCAGGACTGGCTGATGGGTGCACTTGCAGTGCAGTTCCCAGATTGAGCAGACATGGACTCTGTGGATTCTATGGACTCTCCACACCCGGGCTCAACAGCAGTTGCTTTGCCTCTGTGTCCTACCCCTTTGCTATTTCTGTATCATCATGCAATGTCGTTCCAGCATACAACATTCCTTTTCTCTCTTCACACCATGCTTCCCAGAAAGGCCTTGGCCATCATCTTTTCCCTCCACTTTCTGCCCACTTGTTTTCTGGGCATCTCTTTGGTCATGTAAAGACAGAGACAGGTAGCAGACTAGGGAAGCAGTTTTCTGCATAATTTCACGGCAGCTTGCCAGTGATACAGAAACCCTTCTCTATAGGTTTTTGGTTGGTAAATTCTCTGGTTTTCTACATCAGCGTTCAAACTGACTCGGTATCTTCTTATCTTTGTTTACATGGCCACTTGCTTAAAGAGACGTTGAAGTTTGCCACATGATAAAAACTGGGTCATTACCTGCCTGTCCCCAAGAACTATCTACTTTATAATTAGCATCAGTTCATTGAAGATTTGGAATGAACTGGAATTCATTCCAGTTGGAATTTGGAATTACTCTGCTTATTTTCAGCCTTAGTTCTTAATGAGATTGGGAGTTTTTCCTTTCATTTTGCTTTGCTTTTGGTTTTTCAGAACCCTTGTTGGTATTTAGTGATAAGTTGGAAGGGGCAATTCTCAGAGCTGCTAGATAAATGGTATTATGAGGAAAACTCCTGACCTTACATTTTAAATGATAACTTTATTGGGATTGAGCATTGTGTACACCAGTTGAGTCACATTAAAATGTCAATTAAATTCAATTGGACAACTTGATGTTTCAAGAAACACACCTCATACATCTATTGCTTTACGAGTGATCAACTAGTTCAGAGCAACTAAGAATCGCTTTGAGTCTGAGGACAAGTGGGAGTGAAGAGTCATGGATTTCAACCAGCCAGATGACGCAAGGGTCCGTACTCAACACATCCAGAACTTATCTTTGTCATCAGATTGGCCCCAAAAATGCCACTATCCAAGCCTGAAGATGTGTGTTGGTTAGTTTCAGTAGTCTTCATGTATTTGGTCACATACCTGATACGTAGCTCCTTTTTTGCTCTGTTTCGTTTTCCTTTTCTTTGTGTGCATAACATGTAAAGTATGATCTCAAATCATCAATTTCCCTTTTTTTAAATTTCAATCTGTGTCTGAGTTATTGGTAAACGGCACTTGTTGCAAAGGGTAAAATGGTGAACTCTGTTGAATGTTTTTCCAGAGGAGGTTATATGGTCAATTCTTACTTCTTCAAAGATGTCAACAGTTCTGATAGAAACCAAGGCAATGAACTTGGCATGTTAGCTTTTGTCTCCTGCAACTAGGGTTTGATGGTAATATTTTAAATTGTCATGTTTCCTGATAATTTCTTTCTTAGCTTCTTTTTATATTAAATTTAGTTGAGGATAGAATAATTAATTGAATTGAAGATCACTGGTGTTGTTAACATGCCTTTCATAGCAATGAAAAACTAATCTTCCTTTGTTTTTCTAGCTTAATCCTGATTATCGAGATGCCCAAAATGAAGGAAAAAATGTGGTGAGTAGAATTGGCGTTTCTCCAACAAATCTCAAACATATTGTTTGTATTTTATATGGACAGATTGGAATTTTAATAGTAAATTTGAAGAGTAGGAACTCAGAGATTTTCTGAGTAGAGCCTGTGGATCACAGGTAAAAGGTGATACAGTTTAGATTATGAGAAAATGTTCAATAATGGGTGCTTGGGAAGATTTTTGCAATGCAACTTGGAGGCCATTGTTGGTGGAGTGCTGAAGGCAGCTGGCATGTGAGAGATCTGATGGGTCTAGGTTTTGTTTCCAGAAATGCACAGAAATTAAGAAGGATAAATGGAATTATGGTGTGATGATGTTAAAATAGGACAATAGGACATTCCTTTTGGATTCAAAATAATTTGGGTTTTATTTTTGGAGAACTTGAAGCATCTAGCTGACTGATTTTTCTGATTTTCAAACATGTCCTACTCGAAAAACATCTCAATCTTATTTTAACACCAGTTTTCATGACAATCTTTATGATTATTTAGCCTGCTTATTTAGCCATCTGTGAAGAAGAAAGCTTCATGGTGACAACATGGCTTCTTTATTCAATCAAAACTTCAGAAATTGAGGATAATTTGATGTGATGCAGACAGAATCTCTGGATGATGGGCTAGATTTTAAAAAAGTTTTAAAAAGCAATTTAACTAGATATTTTGATGTAATCTAGATACAGTCTATAATTCAGTTTTCTTAGAAGTTTAGCAATTCCTTTTGAAATTGGTAGGTATTATTACTGCATCATTCAAAATTCTACCCTTTGACAGAAAGAATTGGAATGTTTCATTAACATGGCCAGTATCTTTGCATTGGTACATAGCTTTAGGTTTTATGAGGATATTGACCTGGGGGAGGTAAATCCGATCAGAATTTCTGTACCTCATTCAATCCCTTCTGTTTGACTCCCTTCTCTGACTGCCAGGCTTACAATAGAAATAAAGCTGTGAAGTATCAGGTAATTGGCCCAATAAAACCTTTAACATATCAAAATGTCTCTAAACATAGGTTTATTTGATCAATTGGATCTCCTATTTATAATTCAGTTTTAGCGTACTGACTCTTCTCTTGTTGGTTTTCACATGGCTGCCTCAGGATTGTTGGGTTCTTACTCTCATATGATTTAGGAAAATGTTGTCAGTAACCAGGTTTAAAAAAGCAAGGTGTGAATCATGGCTTCTTTGGTTCTTACTATAAGCTTGTCAATGGCCTCCACCCAAAGACCACCAGGAACACATGGGTAGTTGAACAAGTTGGGTTTATTACTTACGCAGCGGGAAAGGACACCTGCCATGGGGAGCTGTGGGGCATCTCAGAGCATGTCAGAAAGAACTTACTAGAGGATTTGTGTTTGTGTAAGGTGATTTGGGGAGGATTTAAGGAAGTGAGGCTTTGCTGTGGATGAGAATGCTGTCAGGAAGAGGAATTCTGTAATTGGTATCTTAATAAATTTTATAGGGAGGACAGGTTTCTAAGGAAGCAACAGTCACTCATATTAGTTGGGGGAGAGGGATGTTTAGTCATTTTGTGGCTTGGACAATATTCATATTTTGTCTGTGTTTAGACATGATTAGGGAATGGTCTTGTTTTGTCTTGATCCATCACAGTCACAGAGTGGCCTTGTCTGATGACATTCTGTGAAATTGTTCAACAGAGAACAGCATGGCCTTGCTAAGAGGACCAGACCACCTATTGGATGTCAGGGGCTGCTGCTTTTCTCTTTCACAAGGTTTATTTTTGTAATATTCTGTGTGACTTCTTCAGCATGGTGTAGGGCCAAGAGAGTCTTGTTCTAGCACCACCATTAACTTGTGTGGCCTTGGACAAGTGAGATAGCTTTCTTGAGACTCAGTTTCCCCACCTGTGTGATGGGATGAAGATGTTTGTCTTATGTACTTCACCTGCATGCCATGAGGATAAAATAAGATCAGACAGATGTAAACGCTTTGAATTTGTAAGTTATTTCTATTAAAAGAGCATCATATCAAAATTTCAAATTGTACAACTGAATTAAATCTTTGCACATCTCCTTTTTACTACATAATATTTGCTGATACTACTGATGATTTTGGCCTGAACGGAGTGGGAGAATACAGTCTTCCTATCCAGGGGTTTTGCATCTGTGTATTCAAACATCCACAGATCAAAAACACCAAAATATAATAATATAAATTAAAAAACAGTATGATATAACAAGTATTTACCTGGCACTTACACTGTATTAGATATTATGACTAATGTACAGATGACTTAAAATATATAAGAGGATATGTATAGGTTATATGCAAATACTATGCAATTTTACATAAGAAACTTGAGCAGATTTTTCTGTATGCAGGGGGTCCTGGAACCAATCCCCTGCAGATACCGAGCGTTGACTACATAGGGCATGGAGGTTCTATGGAACAGCACAAACTATATAAATAATCGTACATCTATGAGGAAGTTCACTCTTTCTGTTAATCAAACTTTTAGTTAGACTTGATAGTTTTTCTTCTTTTTATTCCAAAACACGACTTCTTCATTGACCTCTAAAGGTGAGAAAGAGTGCTCTTCTATTTAAGCCGTTGTTACTGGCAGCACTTTAATTGCGTTCAACACAGATGGGTCTGCTTTTGCTGTGGATGTTTATGACTGAGTCTCATCTGTCATCTCAGGGAGACATCCAACTGGAGACAGTTGATTTAATTTTTTTTCCTCTCCAGAATACCTAGCTTGAGAGCAAAGAAAATTGGGAATGTGGAGCCATAAAGCTACCAATACAGCTTCCTATTTTATAGACCATTTGCCACAGAACAATAATTATTTTTCTGTCTAAAGAAGAAAACAAAGGAGCTGTTAGAGTTTATCTCCAGCCTGTGAAATATGCAATCAATTTCCCAAAACAGAATACTGTTTCACCTCAGATCTGGGTTCCAGTAACACTGACTTTATTATCACCATGCTGATTTTTTCTTTCCTCGTTCTCCTGATGTTGTCTATTTAATGCCCAGTTAATATTTTTTTTGTTGTAATTTAGAAACCTTTATCAAAATGTTGCCTTCCATATTTGAAGTTTCAAAGGTTCGTGCATGGTGCCGCTGAAATGAGGCGGTGTGTGTCAGAGCTCCCATTAAGACACAAATTGCTGTATTTATTCTACAAAGGAGTCTGTTATTTCCAATCTTACAAATGTACAGCATCCACAGGGACCCTGTAAACATTGGAACCGTATCAAGCCCAGCTGGGAACCTGACAATCATTGGTTTCTTCTTGAAAGGCTGCATCTTTTCAAATGGCTCTTTGAAGGGGCATTTTTTGGAATTAACGCTACCCATCTTAACATTACCATATTTATGTGGAATGTGATCTGATTTTTCTTGAGAATGTCTGGTTTAGATGTCGGGGTTTCTGGCCATATTGGGCCAGATAATTCTTTGTTGTGGTGGGATGACTTTTGCCTGTAGGATGTTTAGCAGCGTCTACAGCCTCTACTCACCAGGTGCCAATAGCAGGCCCCCGATTGTGGGGACTAACAGTTGCCCAGAAATTGCCAAATGCCCCCTGGGGGGCAAATATTCCCTGTTGAGAACCACCAGTCTATGTGCATTTATATACATCAACAGAAATGCTCCAGGAACCGGGGAACTTTGTGGAAATACAACTGAAAATCCTATTCCATAGAATGTGGGGGGTGGGGGGTGTACCAGATTCTGACAGACCCTCAAATTTTCCTGAGTACCAGATTCTGACCCCTGAATTTCCTTGTTTTACTATATATTCATCAGTGACAAGGTGATAAGGAAAACACAGAAACAAAGGTTCTATCAGAAATTAATTTGAGAGTAGCAGTTTGTTAAGGAACCTCGGCAAGAGAAGTATTTGCAGCTGTAAATGACAGTGTTATGTGCGGTTACATAAAGTCAGTAGTGAGAGCCCCGGAGGATGTGAACAAAAACACATGTGCCTGCACGTCGTTACGCTGCTGTGGCCACTCACAGGTCTGAACCAACTCTGCAAATGCAGACGTTTCTTACAGAATGTCTCTGGCTCCCAACAACAGAATTGCAACGTGATGTCTGTGCTAAAAATTCGATGACTCACAAATGAGTCAACAGAGAAGGTGTTCTAGGAGCTGACTGCTTTGCGGATGCCTGCAGGCCCCAGGATGGCATGGGAAGCAAGGAGAGCCATTAGTTGAGTTGACTCAGCTGGCTTTTCATAGCGGATTTTCTCCATGTACAACCTGAGAGGCTACGTGGCTTTCTTTCTGAGTGAAAAATGCTCGTTTGATTAAGAGCTCAATAGACCAGGTTAACATTCAAGGCCCTGCATTACCCTAAATTGAGAGTGTTTTGGAGAGGTAGCTGAGGTTAAATTTAATACCTGTTTAAGTTCTGTCGTACCTTAATGTATTTTCATGATGCAAGAGAGAGGGCATTGCACTTCTGTAATTCTCTGTGGGAAACTAGTGTTTCTGTGTCGTTTTTCTTAAAAAAATCAGTATGAGTTTATAAACAAAAGCCACAAGGACACAATTTTAAACTGAATTGTCTTCAGGTTATAAAGATATATTTTTGACTTTTTTCTATTGTGAGGCTTGAGCCATACATTAAAAATTGTATACTTATCACACATTATTCAGATGTCATTAGAGGCTGGCTTGAGGGCACATTCCAAGGAGTGGGCTTGACGTTTACTGTCAGACTGTCTACCAAGAGAGTTTATTAAGCAAATTAACAGAGTACAAGAGAATGAAAGCAGAATGCTTAAGGCTACAGCACAGTGCGCGGTGGCTCACGCCTGTAAGCCCAGCACTTTGGGAGGCTGAGGCGGGTGGATCATGAGATCAGGAGTTCAATACCAGCCTGACCAGAAGGGTGAAACCTCGTCTCTACTAAAAATAAAATAAATAAATAAATAAAAAAATATTAGCCGGGCTCGGTGGCAAGTGCCTGTAATCTCAGCTACTTGGGAGGCTGAGGCAGGAGAATCTCTTGAACCT